AAAAAAAAAAAAAAAAAAGAAAGAAAAGGACTCAGGCACCTGGAACCAGAGAAAAAAGAAGTCGTTTTCTCCATTCCAAGGCCTGAAAATAACAGGCAGCTTAGAGAATTTGCAGTACTGCTTGAATTTGGATACTGAGGTTCACCGAAGCTAAGCCTCTGTATGACATGCTGATATGAAAAGAAAATGAGAGAACTGTTAAATTGGACTTTAGAGCAAACTGAATCCTTTCAGACCATAAAACAAGTGTTACCAGCTGCCTCAGCACCAGGCATTCCTGATGTGACTAGGCCCTTTAACCCTTTAACCTGTTAATGAATGAAGGTACCTGGCAGCAGGAGTCCTGACCCAAAAGACCAGCCCTTGGGAGAAGCCCATTGCATACTTTTCAAAGAGCCTAGGCTCACTCTGTGGCAGAGGGCAGGCCTCCCTGCCTGACAGCACTGGCAGCAACCAACCTTCTGATTAAAGAAGCTGACAGGTTGACCCTAGGACAAAATCTGACAGCTCAAGTCTCCATACTATTCTGGAGTTGTTAAATAGTCAGGGATACCGTTGGCTTTCAAATAGCCATGTTACTCAATACAAAGAGCTGCTTTGTGAAAATCCTGGACTGTCTCTTCAATTTGCTAAACCTCTGAACCCAGCTACCTTTTTTTTTTTTTTTGTACCAGGAATCAAACTCAGAACCTTGAGCTTGCCAGACAGGTACTTAAGCCACAAAGCTCTCTTGCAGCCCTCTAGCTACCTTCTTGCCCACTGAGCTTTATCCCCCAATCATAACTGTCCAGCTTTGACTGATGAAATTTTGGCCTGCCAGCCAGATCTATGGATGGAGTCCTTGTCTTAGGCTGAGTACACCCTCTTTGTGGATGGAAGTAGCTCAGTCAAGGGTGGGAAACGTCAGGCTGGATATGCTGTTCTTATCACAGAGGAAGTGTTCCTAGCTGGACCTCTTCCACAAAACTGGACTGCTCAGCGAGCTACATTATGGGCTGTGAGGGTCGGCCAAATAGCACAGCGGATTAAAGCACCTGAAAGGGGGTGATGGGGGATGCCAGCCCTGTCCCCTGGGTGTGCTGAGACAGCAATTGAGACTGGGCATGGTGGCGCATGTGCGTCTGTAATCCCAGCTCTTGGGAGGCTGTAAACAGGCAGATCACTATGAGTCTGATCTAGTAGTGAGACCATGAACACCCTGTAGACCCTTCTCTACAAAAAATAAATAAATAAATAAATAAATAAATTATGGGCCATGATAGATACTCTCAACTGAGCAAAAACAAAAACAAAAACAAAAACGAACATTTACACTGACTTGAGCACGCTTTTGCCACTGTTCATGTCTACAAGATGCTGTATAGGGAACGTGGACTTCTCACAGCAGAAGGAAAACAAATTAAAAACAAGCATAAGGGGCCATTAAGAGGGCTTAGCAGACTAAAGCACCTACTTAGGCAGAGCGCAGGGCCTGGTGTTCGATCCTTGGCCTGCCCAGCCAGTCCTGCCCCTGGGGCACACTGAGACAGCGATTGAGACTGGGTGTGGGGGCACACGTCTGTAATCCCAGCACTTGGGAGGCTG